TTTGACATCTCGATCAGCATCACTGCCTCTGCTGAGCATTGTTCCAACAGAGCGCTTTACGCTTCATCTTTTCTCCCACCCTTCACTGCCAGTAGATAAACCCCGCAATTTGTCATCAGAAAGCCCTGAGACTGTAGCAGATATTCTTGTACTGCTCTTTTCCTTCTCCACAGGTGATTTTTTCTCATTACTAACCAAAGGGCCTTGCCTTGTAGGAACACTACCACGTCCTTCCACCTGAAACATGTATAAACAACAGAACCAAGATTTTTAAGTGAAGAAATGGTAACACGGGAAATTCACAAAGAATGTGAAAACAGTATCATGGTAAAAAAAAATGTGACTGAAGTTCAGAAGAACACATCATACATGAAGCGCATTAATTAAAAGGGTCATATTTTTGGGGGTGAAGCAGCATTGAAACTAGGTCAACCAGAGTTGCAGTAGTTTCAAAACCCAAGAACAATAAGACTAGGTACAGAGGACTATGAGTGACATGAGTGTGAGAATAAAAGGCTATTATATCAGTTGACTGCAGAATTTGTCCAAGATCACCATTTTCCCACACTTGTCCTGCATGCTCTTAATAAGTGAAAATGAGGTGAGAACAGGGTGGTAACCAGGTCCCCATGCAACTCAGCTTACAAGAAGGGCAAGCATTCTGGAATCACACTGGTTTCCGCCGATACGCGACAAAAGAACATGAGTAGCTAGCTACACTTGCTTGAGTTTAATTAGCTGCAAAGACTGAAAAGGTACAACCTTTTCAACGACCATGATCCAGATTCCAGAATCTGATGGAGACTATTAACGAAACAAGGAACATTTCGTTGCAGGCAAAACAAACTAAGGAAGGTAATAACAAGTGCAAACGCTGTGAGCTGAGACGAAGAGTGGGTCGAGCACACGAACCCGGGCATCGGCGAGCGAGGAGCGCACGCGCTTGCTCAAGACAGAAGAGTTGTTCTGCGCGCCCATCCTGAGCGCTCCCGAGGACGAGGAGGAGGGGCCGGCGGGCCCGAGCTTGTCGGGAGCGGACGACGCGTCGGTGGCGCGCTGGCGCTTGCGGGTGACAATGTTCTTGTACTTGTCGAGCTTCTGGATGGCCTCGTGCAGCGACCTGACCTTCTCCTGCGGGGACCGGGAAGGGAGTCCAGCGTCAGCAATGCGAGATTAGACAGAGGAGAGGGAAGGGAAGGGTACGCACTTGGCCTTGCCCGCGGAGTCCTGGACGCTGGCGCGGATCCGCCTGAGCTCGTCGGCCTGGTCGTCGGAGGCGAGCGCGCGGCGGAGCTCGGGGTGGCGCCAGTGCGGCTGCTTGGGGTCGGAGCCCCAGGAGGGGAGCGCGTCGAGCGCGAGGAACTGCGAGAGGGGCGGGGTGGGCGTGGGCGGGGGCGCGTGGGCGTCCCCCGGCCCCGCGCCCTCGCGGAAGCTCCCCGCCATGTGGGGGACCGGATTGCTAGGGCTAGGGTCCCCCTCCCTCTCCGCCTCGTCGCCGGCTCGGCCGGGCTATCTGAGCGGCGGCGGCGACGCGCATCGGATGCCGCGGGAAGGGAGAAGGGTTCCGGCGGCCGATTGGGGGGCGGAATTGCTCCCTCGGCGAGGGGCGGAGAGAGAGAGGGGTAGTCGGCGGGGTTGCTGACGTCGTCGCAGGCTCGTGGGGAGGAAGCAGAAAGGGGCAAGAGAGAACGAGACGGGGAGAGGAGAGGGGAATTTGGAGTCAACTTTTGCCGCCTGATTTGGTCAACGCAGCCTGTGATTGGCCCAATTTGGTAATAATCCTAATGCCTCCCGTGTTCGTTTCCGAGCTCCTTGGCTCGAGGCACACTAGTGTGTGCGTGCTACTGATGTAATCATGATATCTCCGGATCTTCCTGATACTAACGGAATCCACGGTGATTTTGGTAGCGTCCTGTTTTTTTAACCAACTGACAGTGTTTCTTGATATAAGAAGAAAATATAATCAAATAAACGTAGAAGGCGTGAAAGGGCACGTAACCTAGCGGTAGCATCTTAGTTTACCTGCTGAAAAAAAAACAATATGCTGAAATTTGATGTTTATGCTGAAATGTTATGAGAAGAAAACAATGTTCCGTGACTGAAAAGTAGCTCAAGCGAACAGACAACTCAAACTTTGTGGCCAGTCGGCAACAACAACCATGCATAACGAGGGCACCACAAACTCAACAAACCTCTATCAACAGCGCTCGTCGCTGCAACACACCTCAAGTCTTTTATACCGTGGACATTGAATACCCTTGCTCTGGTTTTCTCAAATCAAAAAAACGAGAGAAGCAAATTGCGCCACACCGACAAAGCCACTGTTATGCGGGACCCATCGCCATGGTGCCATTGTAGCTCCCCAACCCCAAACTAACGTTTCGGACTTTCTCCAAGGCTACTCTATAGTCACCACCATGGAAACACAACACTAGGGGATCTCGCCACATACGTTGTCGGACTCCACACCTCACTCTCGTCGCCTTGAAAGAAACCACAATATATGGGGCCTCATCACATCCGCCGCTAGACACCATGTCACGGATCCATATTTTGCACTGACATCATAAAGGATTATAGCATTGCTCCATAACCTCAAGAACTTCACCTTTTGTGCAACCGCCATGGCCACCACTAGCATGCTGGTACGCCATCCGTTGATGATGCCCCACACCAAAGTAGTTGTAGCCATGACGACTACCTGCTATAGGCCGCTTCAAGTTGAGTTGCCACATGTTGTTGTTACTGCAAGCTTCGCCTTCCAACGTTGTACCACACCGCATTAGCCGCTTCTATGCAGGGCCAAGCACCGCAGTCCGCTGCAAAATAGGCTAGCCGGCATGTGTGCAACCATAAGACACCTCCAAGCCATATGTGTCGTGGCCTTCACCATCATTGACACCCTTCTATAACCTTCCACAACCTTGAGCCGCCATCACCCCAAAGTTATGCCATTGGCACCGGCCGACCTCAAGATAGGCACAAAGCCACCCAAACATGGTGGTCGTGCATTCCTCCCGCACCATCGTCTATCGTCACAGCCTCGGCCTACGCCCGACTCTAACATTGCAGCCTTCGCCCATTTGGCTCCCTCGTCGCTCTTCGCTCCCACAAGCGTCCACCATCGTCCTCACACCGTAGCCTCAACCATGGGGACGCTTCCAACAACGCTACGCTCCGACGCTCGCCCACAAGCCACAACAACCACCCTATCGAGATGAGCCTCTGGGCGGCCGCGATGTACCACAACCTCTCATTCACCTGTCCTACCCCCTTAGTTGATGAGTCGAGCAGGCCACGGGAGACCTTGCCAACTCCATACGTACGCGACACTCGATGTCGATCCGATGCATCCTGCCCTCAAGCACATGTTGACTTGCAAATAGGATAAAGAAAAATGAGTCCGCCAACAGATGTATTGGATGAAGAAGAAATGAGGCTCCCTCCCCCTGACGTGTGAAGAAGAAAAATGAGGCCGCCAACGATAGAACATCATGCGGACTACATAGGTTGTTGGGCCCTTAAAGCAGCAAGAAAAATGAATTGCCAAAGGGAATGATGCAAGGAACCCCCAAATTAGCTAAGCTAAACTTAACTATCAACCAATTGACTGGCTTGACTTCACATGATTAACTTAGTCGCCCCTAGGGCACACCACCCATGTGCCCCCCCAACCCCCAAGCATAGATAAACACACATAGGCTGAATATCAAACATAGTCACAACCAAGTCTTCATTAAGCTTTACAACACATGTTGTTGAAGCAAATTGAGTTCACATATTACACTACGGAAATCTAGATTTTGGTAAGATAGGTTATATTACAGGGATTTTTGGATTGGTGCCATTACATGCCAATATAATCCCCCTCCCCTGAAATATGACGTCTATACGCCAGATGAGACCTTGGGCCCGTTTTCAAGCGCACACGATATACGGTCAATTTTGTATACGAGGGAAAAGGCACCCAGTTTGCCCGTGTTCGTCCTCTCTCAGTCTCTCCTCCACTCAACTCCTCCAACTCTCATCTCGGTGAACTCTAAGTGGCGATCTCCGATGGTGACCCCATGTAAACAAGGCTCGTGTCAATCTTTCTCACATTTTGCCAAAATGCTCAATAAACGATCGGCATGAGTACTAGCATCTTACTCAGCTTGTCATTCCCATACATCCATGCATGATACGTATGTGGTAATTAAGTACGAAATATATGCTCAAATAAGCTAAATCTTTCTAATTTTTATGAGAATGTCTATGGCACTTTTTCTACTAACGTGTCCCGTAAGAATTAATATGGAGATTCTAGTATTAGCCCGATTGATAATGGTAAGAAAAGAGGTATATGCTCAGAAAAAAATAATTAATCACGTTTGGGTCCAACGATATATGATTCTGCTTATTCTTAGAGAATACGTACATTCTTTACTTGATAATATGCTCCTGAATTATTTCTCCTTTTTCATGTTATTATCATATATATTATTAAACAAGCTGGTTTGAATCTATATTAACCACCGATACAACACAAATAATTAGGGCCGGGACACTTACAAATACATCAGTACGTACAATACAACAGCGATTTATAGTTTGGGTCTCAATTCGTTCTCTGAATCAGTAGGCGCGTCGTCTACAGGTACTTGGCGTCAGTGACCATGTCGATGCCGGCGCCGGCGGCTGAGGAAGCGGCGGCGGTGTTGCGTCCGAACCTGGCGACCGCGCAGTCGGCGTCGAAGAGTCCCGAGGAGCGGAAGGTGTCGGCGCCTCCCATGACGGGCATCTTGGCGGTGACGTTGAGCCTGTTGACGTAGTCGGTGCGGTAGGTCTGCCCGAGCACGCCATGGACGTCGTCGGTGAGGTCGTAGAACTTGAACCCGATGTCAAGGTGCGCGAGGCAGTCGTCGGCGCCGACGCCGTACCCGTGGACCCGCGAGTCCTCGGCGGTGATGGGCACGACGTTGGCCACGACGCGGAAAACCCCCCTCAGCTCGACGACGACGGTGTTGACGCGCGCGGTGCGGGTGACGGACAGCCCCGGCGCGGCGGGCGGGGACCACCGGGCGCCGATGGAGGCGGGTAGCGCGACGTCCTCGTCGTCGAAGGCGAGCGCGAGGTGGTCGGCGGCGGCGTCCCAAGTGGCGGCGCCCCTGGTGGCGCCGACGTAGAGGCTGTGGTGCGCGAAGCGGATGCCCAGCGCCTGGATCCACGTGAAGTTGCGGTTCGTGGCCGGGTTGTGGTTGCCGATGAAGTGCGCGTTGATGTGGAGGCCGGCGTCGGTGACGATGCAGAAGTCCTGGTCCTTCTTGCCGTGGAAGTAGAAGGTGTTGCCGTCGGCGCCCGTGAAGCGCGGGTCGCCGCACGACACGCCGGGGTAGAAGTCGCACACTGCACACAGGTCCCGAACGAATGAATAATTTGGTTGTTGGTCGAAGGAAGAAGAAGCACAGTGTATGAGTAGTACTTACAGCAGAAGGTCTTGCAGGTTGGGCAGAGGACGAGGCACTTCTTGGGGCAGCGGGCGGGGCAGGTGGCCGTGCACCCGGGCCGCTTCGAGTTCTTGTTGGTGTCGGTGCAGGTGAACTTGCTGTTGCGGCGGCCGTCCAGGTTGATCACCTGCATGTTGCCCGGCCCCGGCTGCTGCGCCGACGCCGTCGTCATCAGAGCCATGCTGTAGAGCAGGCTCGCGCCCACCACGGCGGCCACCGTGGCAGCGGTCGACGCCGACCACCGCGCCATTGCTGCTGCTGTTATTGAGTCACTACTGCAGCAACGCAAGCTAGCACACGCAGCTGCTGGTGAGCTGGAGGCTGGAGGCTTGGAGCTCTTGCTCTTGATGATGGATCTTTGCTAGAGCGCTGCTGGCTCTAGCTCTAGGACTCTAGGTGATGGATGGAGGGAGGGCGAATTGAAGGGGCAATGAGGGTGTGTCTTATACTAGTACTACGTACTCTCACTCATGCACGGCAGCTAGCATGGCAATTAGCCAATTAGCGAGCAATGGGTTAAGCTAAGCATGCATGGCCGGCGTTGACCGGCCGGCCCTCAGGTATAGTCAGGTGGACGCTAATAATGCTGGCTGGAGCCTGGAGGGAGAGTACGTGCCGGATCAGCAAGGCAAATGGCCTTTTCTTTTCCTTGCAGTTGCAGCTGATCAAAGCTTGGCCTAGTTTAATTTTTTGTTTTGGCTGAATAATAATGTGTATTACGAAGTGCGTGTCTGCGTATATATAGCTTGGAAAGGTGAAAGAGGACTAAATAGGATCTGTACTATATGTAGCTGCATGTGCGTGCTATGATTCATGCATGCATGTGTTTTCTTTTCCAACGTGCTAATTAAGCTACCTGATCGACACTAGGTGCAAGCAATAGTGTCGTACCGGCCTATAGTAAGTCCGACGGGCTGTGCCAGCCCGGTAATGGTAACATATCTCGGCAAAAATAAT